CTCATATTGCGTCAGAAATCAATTTACAATAGTTAATTAGAATTCTTATACAAATTTAAACTACAAGTTCTACAAACAAAAAATCGTTTTCATCAATTCATATTGAAAAACCGGTTAAATATTCTTGAGATTAAGGCAAAAAAAAAAAAAATTCTGGGAAAAACATAATATTTCCAAAAAATAATCGCAATTCTCATGCTTTTTATTAATTCAATTAAAACTACATAAAATGGCCAATAGCTAAAGAGGATAAGAGTTAAAAGAAAAAAAAAATTAATAATAATTTTTTGCTTCCTTTGAAATTTCAAGTTCAACATCCATAAACGCTCTCAGCTGTTTGTATATTATTCAAATTTTTAAAATTACTTCCGGAAAACATAAACAACTTTAAAAAATAGCTAGAAAAAAAAAACCAAAAAATTACTACCGCAAATTTTGCCCGATGTTTTCATTACCTTTTTTTTTTTTTTTTTGCCATTTAATTTTAATCTTATAAACACCAACCTTATGTCCATTTAGCTAAATTGTTCATAGAGTGATTAAAAACTATAGATTAAGTTACGCTCTTGGTGGCTGTAATTTGCAAAAATGAATAAAAGAGGAGAAAAAATTGTGTTTTTTTTTTGCTTTATTCTTTTTGTTAGAAGATAACTTATCGGAGTTTTTGTGGATCAACTAGAATTACTCTTTAATTTTTGTGGTAACGTTTATGTAGGTATTAAAGCAATTAAATTTTATATCAACTTAGATGGTTTGATATCGGTCGGTAAGTATAATTCGAATTTCTAAAAATGCATATGGTTTCATTAGTAAAGGGCAAATTATCGTAAGCACTATTCCGAATTTCGATTGTAGATTTGACGTCGATTTTATTTATAATTGGTGAAAACGGAAATAAAAGATGATTCGTTTTCGTTGTGTAACTTTAATTGATGCCAGTTACAAAAGTGGTAATTGGATTTAAAATAAAAATATTCTCTTGAAATGAGGACTGATGCTCTGATATTGTTGCTTTGCTTATTGCAGTAATGATTATGAACAGATTGCACAAATCCGTACAATATCACAGTGCCGTTTTTGATATGGTAAGTGTACTATAACAAAAAGTACAGATCAAAATTTAGAAAAGTTTCTAGCCGTTTCAAAAAATTTAATTTCTGATTTCAGTTTACTTTATGCAAAATACATTTACTTTAGTTTTCTTTATTTTGTTGCTTATTCGGCCTATGCAACAAATTGTATAAATATAAACTGTATAATATAGAAAGATTTAAAAATATTGTTATAACTTCAATTAATTTAGTTTCGTTATATTTATAGAGTCCCTATCATATTCTCGATTAAATTCCATACTCACAAGATGTTCTATATTAATATTAACCTTAAAGTTAGTTGGAATAACTTTTCTTTTAATTTTTAATAATCTATTACACGCAACATATTATTGCAATTAAGTATTCAAGATATTCGATAGCCACTATATATTTAAATCCATACTAACTATGTGTGGCCATTGAAAATTTAATAATATGAACATAATAGTTAAATAATTATTCTCTATATATAATATGTATTTTATATGTACACATGATTATTGCAATAATATAGAAAATATAAAAATATTTTTTAGATATGGGTATATTGACCATATATTTCAAATGTGACTGTGCTTATAAGTGATTTATTATGAACAAGTCGCACCTGTAAAATAATACTGCAAATTTAATCAATGAGATTCTTAAAATTTACTAATACTATTGTCATATAATATACGAAAATGTCATATTTTGATAGTTTTGAAATTGTCATATCCTAACAACTTTGTTATTTGACATTTTTTTTATTATTCATTACATAAGATATTCATTTTAAGATGGTTTATTTTCTAAAAATTACAGAAGGCCCGTCACCTACCTAGTGAACTGAATGACGCAAGAAACTGATTCATGGGTACCTAAAATATCATGCATTAGCCCCATGTTCCTCCCAGGAGCGAAGTACAATAAAAAATTTTTTTTTTCTAAAAAATATATTCTTTTAACAAATAGCTTTTTGCATTTTTGAAGGTTATAGTTCAAGGTATTTTGCTGCATTCAATTGCTTCACCTAGTAGTGGTCCGATCAATTGAAAGCACGAAACAACTTCAATTGGAATTAAAAAGAACTGAATTTAATTACAATTTTCGATTAAAACTATCCCAATTTTTGTTTTTGCTTCTCATATCTTAGATATAGAGCAAAATATTTAATAAAATGTATAAATATTTTTGTAAGGTTTGTATGTTGTATATTTTGTATAGTGGTGATACGCCCCAGTAAGTGTATAATTACCAAGTGTTTCCTTTTTCCTGAGGATAAGAGCTCCACATTCACATAGAAGGTGTATTGAAGTCTTTTCCATTAACCTATTATATTTGCAGTAGTAATCGTTTAATATGCCCAGTTCTTGAGGTGGCTCTGCAGTTCGCAGAGGTCAGATAATACACACGTAAGCATTTTCAACCGGGTCGTACGCATTCCAATAATCCTCTTAAAACACTTCTGGTTATAGCCTACCACAAGACATTTTTAAACCCTGTCGAAATTACGGAAGATTCGTCCATTTCTCCGAACGCGCCAACTTTATCTCTTTCCTCACTTTGTCTCGCATTGCAATGTAGTTGCATGTGTAGTTCGATTCCATAAAAAAGCTCATAATTATCTCATATTAAGAATATTCCGTGTTATCGTAGTATTATTCTATAGGTGCAATAATTTATAGTTTATACATACTAATATGAAAATCAATTAATTTACACTTTAATTGAAAAATTGCGAAAAGCAAAAAAAATTTCCGAATATTTTTTTTTCGGATAACTAAGCGAAAAAAAAAGCATTAAAATTGAAAAATTTTTTTTTTTATTTCCCATTAAATTATTTTATTAAAAGTTAGTGGTTATTTTTAGATTTGATTTCCTGCGATTTTCAGAAAGGAAAAATAAAAACAGAAAAAAAAAAATACCCAAATGTTCTTGGCGTGCCGTTTTTTTTTTTTTTTTTGGAGAAAATACCATGAAATGAGTAATTTGTTCTTTTATTTTTTTGCACAATTTCCCAATTAATCACAACAATTATTCTACTAATATAGTTTCACATTTTCAACTTTACAAATTTGAAATTTTTTTTACATATACATAGATAAAAATTTTATTTCTGAGTAAATATTTTCAAATTTTACCGCCATACTATAGGTGTATATACTGTCGCCGTGATTTCAAATATTGGGTTAACTTTTTACCGACCGTATTGTGTATACAATAGGTAGGTTATGTGATGGCAACAAATTTTGCATATCGAGTTTTCGGTGGGAATGCACTTCTCCATAGTAGGGAAGTGTAAGTAAACTATTTTTAGCAACCTGTCGGTCTGTGTGTGACCGCGTGTATCTCAAGTTCGGCTGAACCGATTTTGATGAAATTTTATATATAAGTTTATTTCCACCATGGCACGGTTTGATCAACTTTTGGGAAATATCAGGCCTTGGGAATTGCACTTTTTAGCGAGTCTGTTTTACATTTTTGAGCATTTTGAAGAAAATATTCAACCGATTTTCTTGAAATATCATAAATAAGCTTTGCTCGACCGTCCGCAAAAATTCCTAGCTTTTGCAACAAATCAGGTGTCAGCAACTGGACATTTACCACGGGCCAAATATACATTTTTGCGTATATAAAGAGAAATAATCGACCGATTTCATTGAAATTTAATACTTAAATTTTTCGTATTAAAACAATGAACATATAAATTTTTTGGAAAGATCAGGGCTCGAGAACTGATCTGCGGGCCGATTTAACATTTTTCACCATATCTTCGGAACGAATTGATGGAATTTCTTGAAATTTGATATTTGAGTTCTGGTTTTTACCGAAACTAACTGGCGAGCAATTTAGGGAATTCGGATAGCACAAAGCGAAACTCTACTAAGAGCCAAATTTACATTTTTCTAATGTCCTAAAAATTGGAAAGAAGTATTTAACAGACATTTTTATAATATTCTGTAACACTTTCATTTAACTAGACAATACACAATGCGGTCGGTTATGTGCTGACCACATCAGATTTTTTTTTTTTATAGTTCTATTTAATTTTGTAATTTTTATGTAGTAAGTAGTATTGTTGTTTATATATACTTACTATTGATATAAATTGCGGTAGCATTTTTTTTTTTATTATTTTTATTATTCTTATTATTGGTAACTTACAAATTTAATATTGTAATATAATAAAGAAGTAAGGTAAATATTATTATGTAGAGGAGAAGAAGAAGAAAAAAAAATCAAAATAAAAAATAATATACGATAAAAGAAGAAGGAGGAAAAAAAAAACAATCAGAAAAATAAAACTAAGCGTATAATTTCATGATTTCTAGTATTACTAACCGACATAAAAATACTTAGAAAAAAAAATATACAAAACTATTAAAATTTAAAAGAAAAAATAAGCACACACAAAAAAAAAAATTGTAATAATGCAACAAAACCACATAAAAAATACAAGAATACAATAAAAAAAAATAAATAAAGTTGGTAATGTCTGATGTTTGAGGTATAGTTAAAATACCAAAAACGACATGGAAGGTCATTTTTTTAACTATTTTTTTTTTTTGTTTTTTGGTTTTTGATTTTATTACAAAAAAAAAATATGAAGAAAAAACAAAAATAAGCAAAATATGAATGTAATCAGAAAATATAGAAGAAAAATTCATACCGCAGAATATTGTATTAAATTTTACCATTATACAAAAAAAAAATTATACCTATATATATATATATATATATATATATATATACTTAAATAAATACATAATATGTACCTATGATCTGTATTATATACAATACCTACAAACAAACAAATATAATATTGTCTTTAACATTAATAATAATAAAATCTAGCTAGAGCTAGCATATGAGTATAAAAAGACTTTTCAAGTTTATTAATGTGAACAGTATTAAATTTAAATCATTCATTCATAGAAGTGATAACTAAAAAATATTCACTAGTTTGAATTCAAAAAAAAAAATTATACACAAAAATTAAAATAAAAAATATTATAGTAAATTATTAATTAAAAATGGCATTTAAAGTAAGGATATAAAAAAGGATATTTTTTTTTTTAAAAACAAAATATATAAAAATTAAATTTAAAATACAAAATTATTTTATAAACTTTCAAAATAATTTGATACAATTGTACTAAACAAATAATCATTGTGAATTCTGAATTTTTTCTTTTTTCTCATAATAAACTTTTTTTAATATTGTGAATTTTTGACATATTGTGTTGTAATATATTTGAAGTTGATTTTGAAATAGAATTTTTTTAAAATTTTTGATTTTCGGAATGAAATTTAATTATCCTTTTTCTTAAAAATATTATAGAATACAGTGTGAATAGACTTTTGTTAAACACATAAAAAAAATTTAATGTAAAATTTATTAAACGATTTCATTATTTTTGAATTTATAATGGAAACTAAATTTTAATTATTTCATAATTAATTTATTAAATTTATGAATTATAATAGCTAATATTATAATTAAAAGATCCTTTAAATATGGTGTATTTTAGTCTTTTAAATTACATATTATTCCGAATAAAAATATTCCTGTTCGAAAATTGTAAAATTTAAGAGCTAAATAAATTGCTTAAAATTTTTAAAAAAAATTTAATTTAAATTTAGCAATTTTTGAAAATTTTAAATTTTTTTTTGGAGAATATTGAAAATATTATATTAAAGAAGATTCAGAATATTAAAACGAAGAAGTTTCAATTAAAAATGATTTGAACAATAGAATCAAATTTAAAAAATTAGAAAAAACTAGATTTAAGATTTAACATTTAGATTATACAAGTCCAATTTTACTATTTTATCAATAGTTCTTAATTATATTTCAAATTAAAAAATTCTATCAATAACTTAGAATTCTGTATCCTCTCTAAAGAATATATGATTTTCAACAATAAAATCTTTGAACAATCATTCCAGTGTAAATTGGAAGACAATTTAAATGAATTACGTGCTACAAATTGTGAACTCAATTTCCATAATACAAAATTTGTATGCAGCCATAGTTGGTTTCAATTTGTTGTATATTAATTTATACATTATCCTTTTCCTAAAATGATTAATAGTATAAGTAAAAAAATTTATTTAAATCTTCAAATAATTTTACAAACCTAGCAAGTTGTCTCTATGAAAGACTCAAATCCTTTTTATATGATTGATTGAATTATTTATTCTCAAAATTCATACTGAGTATAAAAATATCCTTTTGTTATATCATTTAAATATAAAAGTCTTTAAGATCAATGAGAATTATAATTATTATTCTACCAGTTAAATCTTTACACCAAGCTTCTTTTTAATATCTCTTCTATACTAAATAATTTTCTGGATTTCCAAAATATTCGCATTCAAATTTTTTCGACTTTTCTGAAAAGATTAAAAATTCTTATTTATTTAAAAAAAAAGCATTTAAAATTTAATATTTTGTACAATTTCCATTTTTAGTTTATTGCTGTTATTGCATTAGCTGCATTCGTAAATGCTGGACATATTGCTTATGAACCTGCCTATGATCATGGTCATATTCATGGAGGACCAGTACATTATGTTGCTGCAGCACCAGTACATATCGTTAAACATATTGATAATCATGATGATTTAAGTGTACCACAACCATATGATTTTAAATATGGTGTACATGATAGTCATACTGGTGATGTTAAACATCAAGAAGAAACAAGTGATGGACATGGTAAAGTACATGGTTCATATAGTGTTATTGATCCAGATGGTTTTAAACGTACCGTACATTATACTGCTGATGATCATAATGGATTTAATGCTGTTGTACATCGTGAACCAATTGGACATAAAATTGTAGCTGCTGCTCCAGTTCATGTTGCACATCATGCACCCGAAGTACATTATGTTGCTGCTGCACCACATCATCATGCACATGGTTATGAACATGGTTATCATCATTGAGATTTTCTAAAATTATTTAAATTAAATTTTATTTAAAAAGAATTTTAAATTATGAGATTTTTGTTTTTTTCTATTTCATTCATATTTCGACCATTTTATATTTTTATAATTTTTTTTTTTTGATATAAAAAATTTTTGATTGTAAATTATAAGGATTTTGTTTGTACATATGAAAAAAGTAGTAGGAAAAATTTAAAAGAAAAAACTTTTGTATTTTGTAGTTAGTAAAGAAAAAGTTTATTTTTTTTTTTATCAAAGATTCTTTATAAATTATTTTCTGATTGTATCATAAGGGACTGTAATGCCTGTGTGTATAATGTAAAAAAAAAAACTTAAAACAAAAAAAGGAGGAAAAAAAAGGAAAAAATATACCAAAAAAAAATTTTAATTATTTAAAAACAAATAAAATGTTTTATTGTAATTTAAACGGGGAGTCCTTAGGAACTGATGCAAAAGTACCTGGAACAAATGATGAGAATAAAATTCGCTAGAATTCATACAAATACAGCCAACGTTCTGAACCATCGCACAGCAGAAATTTTACCTCTCTCGAAATATTTTGGATTCATTTAGCATATGTGCTCGTTTCAACACATTTTAATAATGATCTTGAATTTGAGTTTTAGCATGTGGATAACACACATGTTAAATCCTGCTGAAATAGTAAAAATTTAATATATATTAATCAATTAGTTATTACACGAACTAAATTGCAATAATCACCTTCTAAATATAACTCTAATGATATTTCAGCTAGGGGGACTCTACCATAACAAAAAAGAAACAATTATTTAAGTTGTCGTTTTGAAAATTCGAATTAATCAAGGTTAAATTTGTATTTTCTGGTTAAAATTAAGTTTGATATCTGAATTAAATGAAAAATGATGAAAAGGTGTGAATTAGACGGTAAGTTTTGGTCAAAAAATGGTCACAAAAATTGTAACATTTTTTCAAAAATAAAATATAAATTAATTGAAATAAGCTAAATCAATAAAATAATCAGGAAATTTTTAGAAGGAAAATGTGAATTTGGCAGCCCTAATCCTGCTTGATCAAAATTTCCTATTATAAGATTAAATAAGTTACGTGGAATGGAATTACAGGAAATTTATATTTAAACTTTGAATTTAGTTTACTCCATAAACACGCTCTTTTCAACTAAGACAGGTTTTCCTTAAAATCACAAGGAATTTATTTTAAATACAGCATTCATTAAGTTGAAATATGTGAAACTCTTAATTTTTATTTTATCATTGTTTCTATGAATTCTAGAGAATTTTTGTATTTTAAAATTTGAATAATCAGGCATAATGAACAATTACTTCATATGTTAAAATCTTTAAGAATTATTATGTAATTAATATAGTAATATTCAGTATAGTTTTGTAATTGAAGCTTTTAAAATTTTATAGAATTGTAATTGAACATTAAGTTGTAAATTTAATTGGAAAATTATTGATTATTTCGAGAAATAATTATAGACTATATAATTACCTAAAATTCAGAATTATTAAGTGATTTATTGTTAATTAGTTTAACTTTTCTCTCTTACTAGCCTGACTGGTGTTTCTATACAAGCAAAAATCAAAATTAAACTGTGGGAGTCCCCAATTTACACATTTATTATATCAATTATCACAATTTAGTTAATTTTTCTTTTACTATATATAAATTTTTATATTTATATACTTTCAATTTTAATAACAAGAAACTTGTTGTTCATATCAACTTTATCCGGTGGAAAACAAAACAAAAACAACATAAACGAGAATGAAAGATATCATTTCGTATGCCTACAAGATTTTACCACATTTTCCAAAGTATATTTCCTTTTTATTTTAAATTTCAGTTGACATATCAATTAACAGACATTTTGCATATAATCTGATTTTGTAATATTGTCTGATTTTTATTTTGAAAAAAAAAAATCCTTTTACAACATAATGTAAATTTGTTTTTGTTATTTTTTGACCCAATTCTGTTACACGTTGTAATAAGTGCACGCATCAAAAGATTTTAACCGAAATTTTATTTTAATAATATAAAAAAAAGTGTACAATAAAAATTAATTATATAATATGGAAAGATCACCATATTATGGTTTAATTGTATAAGATCAAAAGTTGAATACAAAAAAAAAAAAACAAAAAAAAAAATGAAAATTTTATGAAATAATTGTAAATTTAATGTAATTTTGTAATACAAGTGGCTGTAAAAACTGGAAATATTTTATAACATTTATTTACTTTCGTTTTGACAGTATATAACAGCTTATTAGTATATTAACGCGTATCACGCTCATTAAAAATGAATAAAAATTACAATAAAAGAGATTTTACGTTTTGTTTTGTTGTGTTTTTATTGCATTACTCAATCTCTCAATATTGTTAATTTGAATTTTATATTCTCGACTGTTTATATAGAAAATGGGAAGTGAATATTCTGATCTGTTATACTGGATGTCCCGGGATTGCAAATTATACAATAGGCTATTGCCTGGATAAGAAATTTTGCATTACAGTGTTGCGGTAAATTTTGCTTCCGTGATTATTTACTATGTATACTAAATATAGAAAAAGAGAGAGTGGAAGAGAGAGGATATATGAAATAAAGTATATTTTAAAAAGAGATTCAGAAAAAATATGTGTAGATTAAACAAATTATTTATTAATTATTATTTGCATACAAAAATAAGTCACTTCATTCTTTGACCTTCACATAAAAGCGTACAGCATACAGACTTGTCCATAACGTTTACTTGGAATGCCTTTTTAACTGACTCAGGCCATTCCACTTTTCTAGAAAATATTCGGTTTTTAAATTTAAGTGTTAATGATTTTTAAGTGTTAATGATTTCCGAACAAACATATGTATGTAAATTGAAAACTAACCTGTATTATCTCATCTAAAGTAATCAACATTATCACATTCTATAAAAGAAAATTTCAATGTCAAAGGCTTAAAACGTTTACATTTTATTCGTATACCAAGAATTACAAATCTTTATAATTCTAACTTTAAAAAAAAAAATGATATATCGAAAAACGTCGAATTTTAACACTAATTGATAAGATTTCAAACTCACTAATTATAATTTATTATACCAGAAATAGTTATCAAATGATTACAGCACGAATTCTTTGCATTAAACATAATTCGTATATGTTCGTATATTTGTACCCGAATTCTGTGATAGTACATATATAATTGTCGTATTCATTAAATGCTAGTTTGAATAACCAATTACTAAATGGTAAGTAAATAATTGAATAAATAGTAAGTAATTGCTTCGAATATTTAAATTACGAGTAGAAATCATTTACTATTCAGTGATAGTTTTACAGATTTTAAATAAAACATGACGAAAATTTAAAATGCAATCATGAAATTAAAAAGTGCATATTTTCAAACAAAAATTTTAACAGGCCGGGAAAATTAGTCAAAATTTCGTATAAAGTTTTTCTGTTTTTTTTTGGTTACTTTCTTTACATCCTTTGATGATGATAAGGAAACAAAAGCAACCAAAAACAAAAAAAAGAAAGAACCGAAAAATTGCAAATAAAACAGGCTCTTTTCTTTTTATAATTTTTTTTTGAATGAGTTCTGTTAAGCGTTGATTATTATCCCTTTTTATATATAAAGGGAAAAGATTTTTAAGAAATAAAGACATTCAACATTTGAGCTTCTGTTGAGTAATTATCAATAAATTTTGTGATTAAATATTTTAAAAAATATGGCTGGAAAGGTAAATTATTATTTGATATTATTAAAATTTAGAATTTTAATTAATTAAATTATGTTTTTTGTCTTCCTATATTAGTTAATTATTCTTCTAACAACACTATCATTAGCATTAAGTTTACCAATTGAATATCAAGATTATAATCATAATCAACAAATAAATAGTGGCCTGGATGATCATTTAGTTGAACATGATCATTCAATTATACCAGTAGAATATCAATTTCAATATGGTGTACAAGATCATCATACTGGTGATGTTAAAGAACATCAAGAAAGTCGTAAAGGTGATCATGTTGAAGGAAAATATGAATTAGTTGAACCAGATGGTCATAAACGTATTGTACAATATACATCAGATAAACATGCCGGTTTTAATGCTATCGTACATCGTGAACCAACAAATATTAAAGTACCAATACCAATTCAACCAAATCAATTACAACATCATAATCAACAAAATCAACACCATCAACAGCAACAACATCAATATCAACAGCAACATATTCCAATACATCAACAAATTTATACAGAACCATCAACAGCTTATATTCAACAACATGATTTAAATTTACATAATTCTGGATTACAAAAATATTCTCAAATTACTGGTAATCCTATTGTTGTTCAAACAACAAAATCATTAGAATCATCACCTTCATCTTCAGTATTTCAACAAAATCAACATCATGATTTAACAAATTCAAATAGTCATAGTCATGTTAGTTTTCAAGATTCTCATATCCAGTACCGTTATTAAAAATGTAATAACCTAAAAAAAAAAAAATAATAAATCTAAAATTAATTATTGAAATTCAATTAAAATTGAAAAAAAATATATATATATAAAAGAACCGTAAGAAGGCTTTTAGAATGAAATAATTTTTAGTTTTTAAAAGAGAAAAATTAAATTCAATGCATTAATTATAAAATAAATATAAAATTTTGATATGTTGTGAATTACATTATTGTTATTGTTGTGATTAGCTCCTGTTCTAATAGATTTAGAGTGATTTGGGTTCATTGTTTCGAACCATAAGTGGCATTGTGTGAATACTAATCAATTTAATAGAATTTGTTTTAAGTTGTCATGTTAAATTCAGACTTAATAATCTTGTGTTATAATTAATAATAGCCGAAAATAGATTAATAACAGTTGTTATAACTAGACAGACTTAACCTTTTCGACCCGCCATTCGAATAGTGTAATTAGCACATGTTGTAATGTGGGATCTATGTGCATTAAAATTTAGCGAGCCGAACTGTTGATAAAAAAGTTGATAATGGTACAACAGAAAACCAAATAGAATACCATTTTTAACTTTTGAACAAGTTGTTAGAATTTTACTGGTACATATGTGTACTAGCCGGGTCGAAAGGGTTGAAAAAAATAGTGCATATATTCACATTTTTGAGCATACTTTAAAAGACAACGATTCTTGAGGCAAACGCTAACAAAATTGAAACTTGAAATTAATATTCAATGCAAACATTACGTTTTGCAAAACAGTAATTTATTTACAATATTCTTATGAATTGTTTTCAAAATCTGGATCATCTAGTTATTAATAACAATTTGAATATGATAGCAATAATTTTCCTGTCTAGATAGCAAGAACATTATTCGAGAAATAGTTTCTTATTCACGTAATTTATTATCAGCTAATAAATAAAATTTTGCCTAAATTGAGGCAATTTATTAAGTTTTCAAAATATTGCATATATTTAGGGGAACTAATTCAAAACTATTAAATAATATTGTTTGCAATATTTTTATTCTTTGTCAGCAAAATTCACAATTTTCTTTCCTATTTTCTGCTGAATAAAATTATAACACATATGAAGTGATATAAAAATTTTTTGGAAATAATTTAAAAATAAAAATATGACCATAATTTTGCTGACCATTGAGCAAAAAAATTTAATTAATAATGTGATAATAACAAGCAAAATAATAAAAAAAAAATTAATGAATTTTATTTCATAATTTTTGTTTTTTCTTTTTTTTGTTTTATTATGAATGGATAATTAAATGTTATGTTCATTTTGACACTGTCTTTTAAAATGTCAAAGAAATGTTGTGTTTATTTTTTGTTATTTTGTGTTTTTGTTTCGTGTTATTCACGAAAACAATTATATTACAGGTGTACAAAAAGTGCCCTACATTTAACGGTTTATTATTATAATGAGTCTATTATGTGTTTTAAAAATAATTTAATGTTAAAAAAAAATTTAATAGAAATTTGGGATTTTGATAGGGTATTATGGAATAAAGGAAATATTTTAAGAAAATAATTTTTATGAAAAATGAACAAATGGTCTGTGTTTCATAGTTTTGCTTCAAAGGAAGAGGATAATGCAATTAGCTTATATGTATGTACGTCGCAAAGATTTTATATTAAATACTGTATTAGATGCTGTAGAATTTGTAAAAAATTAGATACAGTCATGTACGTTAATATTACTCTACAAAAGTAGCATACGGGTCCGTTTAATAACAACAAAAAAAAAATTGTACATAGAATCCAGTGAACAAACTCTCCTATTCTACTATTCTAGGAAAATTTTATGCCGCCTAATGTGGTTCCTGCTGTATGGAGGATGAAAAATCGGTTCCCTGTTGTAAATAATAAGTAACAATTATTATCTGGATACTGCATGGGATTTAAGTAGTAGCCACAAAAACTAGTCTACATTTTAAATTGTAAAGTTCAAATTTTTATTTTTAATTTACTCAATGTATATCTTAAAGTTGTCTGAATGTACCAAAAAATGAGTACGTTTTATATCACAATTTAATTTTTGAATTGTATGGTTGGTTTTATTAATTTATTATTAGAAAAATTTGTTGTTCATGGGGTTTCATATTTTGAGAAATATTACAAAAGGCTATGTTAAAAATTCGTGAAATCGTGTTGAACACTATATAAAGTAATAAAACGTGTAACAATTATTATTTTTGTTTTTTCTGCTTTTCATTATTATCGTGTGTGTTTTATGATAATTTATATTATGTTTAATATTATATTTTATAATTTTATGTATATACAGTTAATTAGATTTGGTGCAAATTAGGACTTTTTTTTTTAAAAAATAAAACAGTCACAATAAACCATTTTTCGCATTTATTACAGTTAAGTTTTTAATAGTTGTCAAATTTTAATTAAGTAATCTAGGTATTGTAAGTATTTCAACAAGATGAAATTAATGTTTGTGTACTGCAGAACGCTGGTATAATTTAGTATTGGTTTATTAGGCAGCGGATATTAATAACATAATTAAAAAAATTATTTAATTTATAGAGTAACTGAAGTATGAGTTTGTAAATTACCGGTTTTTTGAAGTGTTAATTGTGAATTTAAAATTTTAAAGAAAATTGTTATAATAATAAGGTTTAAAATTCACTTTTATTATATTTGTTATATTCACAGACCATTCTGATCTGATTAGAATTTTGTCATTGAACTGTCGAGAGGAAAAGTGCTGTAAAAATTTTTGTCAAATTTAGCATATAGAATTTTAGAAAGCAAATTAGCCAGAATAGGCCGGAATCCATATTTTGTAACAACCTAATCTACACCCGTATAACCGGATACCAAACTTTTCTTCTATATTCATTTTGGAGATGAGCATTTAAAAAGCCTTTAGAAAAATTTCATTTAATTTCTAAAAAAAGTTTATGGACGTTCATAATACAACAAATCTAATGTCAACTTGACTTATTCAGCAGTACAATTTTAATCACAACGCAATACGATATTCTCCGAGTCATTAATTTCCAAATGTATGGGGAAATTTTGGTTGTTAAGTTGAACATTTGTGTAACACAAGATAGACACCATTTTGAACACTTTGTTGTACATTTTTTCAAGTCATTAAACAAATAAAATTGGTACAAAATAACATTTGCAGTAATTAATTTTTCTTTTTAATAATTTCAGAACAGGTAATAGGATGACTTATATACCAAATTAAAGCTCAGTTGACAAGGTTCTCAAGCTGTGCCAAAATTAGAGAAAGTTGCAATGTTATATATATCACCTTAAAAATTAATTTTTTTTTTGAAAATGAAAAGTGAAAGTTTCAAATTTTTTGAGGTTTCCAAATCATATTTAATAATGCAACTGTCTAACAAAGGTACGGAGTTATACTTTAAATTACAAAAAGTAAAAAAAAAATCAGTCGAAATTGATTTTAAGTTTCTGTAATCCGGAACCTGTTGAACTGTAAACATCATCTCCATATAAAAATTTTATCTACTCCTGAGGACCTATACAATGGTATAAAGTACAACACATAAATAAGAAACACCCTGTAATTCAAATTTTTTGTTAGAAATTTGAAAGTTTTGCTATTAAATATAAATTAAACGGAAAATTAACAACATAATTATACTAAAACTAGTTCACAATAGAAGGAAATGAAGTAAGCCTCCTAATATTTCAGGTACTTATAATAATCTATTTTTTTACTGGCATTTATAATAACACACATAAATTTAAGGATAATGATTAATAATCAGGAAGGCGAAATTTAAATAATCATTTATAGTGAAAGAGTTTTTAATTATGATTACTCATATGATGTAAATCACTTTTCTGTATTGTAAATGGACCCAAATGAAACAAGATTACTGTGTCAAATATTCTGTCTGGTAAATTATGATAATATTATTTTCTGATTTTGAAAATCCACCAATCGTGAAATTATAATAAGCAATTTAAATAATTTTATTCTCGAAAGAGAATGGTTAATATTAAATTGAATTACCAAGAGAAATGCTAGTTTTCTTGCGGAGTAGCATTTTTTTCAATATTGTTTAAAAATAAAGTAGAAAATTTTATGGAATTTCAAATAGCTTTTCTTATACTAGTATTTCGTTGTTGAATTTGTTAAAATGTCTAAGTAAAAGCAGCTCAATTAAATTTTCGTAAAACTTCAACAAAAATTATGAATTATTTAGGATTTAATATTATTAAACCAAATTAAATGGATCTAAGTCTAAAACACATGATACTCGTAACTAATCCTGTATTATTGTGCTTAAAACTCCAATTGCTCTATATGAAATATGCACAATGTTTCACTGAATAACAGAATTCAAATTAGATAAGATCTGGCAAAATTATAATATTTCAAATCTTTTCAAAAAACTCAATATGTTAATTTATTTAAATTAATAATAAAAAATTTCATGCGCTCATTCAATTATAATTAACACTTTTATATTTCTCTAAACATTAATAAAACTTTCACTTATAAAAATTGAATAACAAATAAAATAGCCAATTATCAAAACAAATTTATCAGTTTTAAAATATCTTAAAAATTTCAATTTAAATTTATGCAATTTTGCAAGTAAACACCAATCTCAATTCAATCTTTCATTTTGAATGATTTTTAAATTTATTTGATTTCAATCATTGAATTGCCTACATAACATTTTTAATAAGAACAAAAGAATTGTAATGAAAAAAAAAATTTTAAATTTTATTTGAATTTGAATAAATGAAAATTTTAATAAAAACTAAATTTAAAAAAAATTTATTATGCACAATAATCGTAACTATAAATTTAATATGATCTCAATTTCAATTTATGCATTTTATAATAAAATTCTATACTAAATAATCCATTTAAATTAATGATTTTAAAAAATTTACACATTTATATAAAAAAATGATAAAAAATAAAGTTGATCGTGTCAACTATGTGATACCCGTATGAATTTGCTATCCTATGTGCGAATAAATATGCCAT